GGGGACGGGTGGCGCGGGCGGTGGCGCCGCTAACGGCCCCGTTGCGTCCCCAGACCACCAGAAGCTGGAGCGCGAGGCCCGGATCTGCCGTCTCCTGAAGCACTCCAACATCGGTGAGCGTTGCGCGTCGCGGGGGGGCTGTGGGGTCGCTGCACACGCGCATTCCCCACGCTTGGGAGCTTGCACAGATCCGCGTGCATGTGTGTGCATGCGTGTCTGCTTCCTCCTGTGCGCACATGCGTGCAGCCAGCGCGCCTTGCGTGTTTGCATGGCCATCCCGTGTGCTCGCTGGGCACACGTGTGCAGTTTGCATGTGTCGCACAAGCTCTGCACATCGTGTGTTTGCATGCATTTACACACGTGTGCATGCTGCGTGCATGTTCCGTGCTTGCATTGAACGAGCGTGTGATACCTGTGCACACACATGCAGTTTGCACACATGCTGCGTGCTTGCATTGCACAAGTGTACAATAGCTGTGCACACGCATGCAGTTTGCATGCATGCTGTGTGCTTGCATTGAACGAGTGTGTGATACCTGTGCACACACATGCAGTTTGCACACATGCTGCGTGCTTGCATTGCACAAGTGTGCAATAACTGTGCACACACATGCAGTTTGCACACATGCTGTGTGCTTGCATTGCACATGTCTGTGTGATAACTGCACACGCATGCGAGTTGCACGTATGCAGTGAACTTGCATTGCACAAGTGTGTGATACCTGTGCACGCGCATGTGGTTTGCACGCATGCTGTGTGCTTGCATTAAACAAGCGTTCAATAACTGTGCACGCATATGCGGTTTGCACGCATGCTGTGTGCTTGCATTAAACAAGTGTGCAATAACCCTGCACAGATATACGGTTTGCACGCATGCTGCGCACTTGCATTGCACAAGTGTGCGCGATACCTGTGCACACACATTGCACAAGTGTGCAATAACCGCACGCGCGCGTTCGGCCTTGCATTGCACAAACATGTGCTACCCGTGCAGTTTTCATGCACCATGCGTGTTTGCACATGCACACGCGTGTGCCCCCCCTCTCCACACTTTGGGGGGGTCTCAGGTGTCCCCTGTCCCCACAGTGCGGCTCCACGACAGCATCTCCGAGGAGGGTTTCCACTACCTCGTGTGACCTGTGAGAGTAGGCGGGGGGCGGAGGGGGGGGTGCACCCGGACGCCTGGGCCCCTGGTGACCCCCCCTGTCCCCGGTGGCCTTGCAGGGTGACCGGCGGGGAGCTCTTCGAGGACATCGTGGCCC